TTTTTTTACTTATCACATTAACACATCCTATTAAGTGTACTTATGTATTTTTCTATTATATTATATAATAGTTATTGCTAATACCAACTAATAATAATCCCCCTATATATAATTTCAGAATGCGCTAAGCCTACGTGTCTGCTTCTGGTACTTCGTAATCCTACTTGGCGAAGAATCATGCTTCGTAATTAGGTTTGGACAAATAATATTCATATATTAATAATTAATAATTTAAGTTCAGACATTCCATAAATATTATTTAGTTAACTTAGGTATTTTAATATCGCTTGTAGTAATATAACCTTTTAATTCTTTATAATTTTACATAGTGAGACACTAAATGACTAATATATCCCTGACTTTTGATTTGTTTCCTTCAATTAGCTATTGAATTAAAAATGTATTTTAAAAGTTGATAACTTTTGTATTTCTTATTGGTTTTACATATATAATATATCAAATTAATCATCTTTTCATAATCTTCGATTTGACACCCATATTGTATATATAAAATAAATAAATTATTATAATATAACACAAGTAAGTCACACAAATAAAAAGTGTCATACTAAATATATACTAATATATATATTTTTATAAAGTTAATTTTTATAAAGTTATTTAAATTTTCACCTACTTTTTCTCATTAATTTTAAATTTTAAGGAAAAAATTATTAACAAGCACCCGTGTAATACACGGGCGTTGTACTAGTTCACAATAAATATAAATTACATAATTATAAACAATTGTTTCAAGTTATGTATTTTAACATTAATATTATTTTTTTCTTTTGTATCTCATAAAAAATTTCTTTAAAAACAATTAGTAAATTGTTTTAATAGCATCCAAACAACTTTAGAAGCTTATAAACAATTAATTTTAATAATAATAATAATAATCAAACTGTTATTATCTAATGATAATAAACAATTGTTCATAATAAATAAAATCGTTAATATTACTTACTAATATTTTATGTACATTTGTGCATGTGCGCAGGATATCTACTAGTTTGTCACTCATACTAGCACATGGATTAGTACTCAAGTCTCATTTTTATTGTTGTGGACATAACTATCATCATTTTTGCAACATTCATGTAAGATGATACCAGCTGACAACAAATTACTAAAAATGACCAGAATATACTTTGACATAAACTACGAACAATATTATATGTATCACGCACATATCAGCTACAGTAAAATATCAACAAGTTCATATTGTGGAAAAGAAAAAAAGGTAGGCATTAAAAAAAAAATCAAAATAAATTGAGCACTTCATCCTACCTAAAGTTGGGTATGCTCAACAACTTTGGAGGTACTGGTCCAGAAAATAGGTTGTTCTGTATATCTCTGAGAGATGGAAAAAGAAAGTCATGTAAATACCGTATCTGAAAAAGCATGGGATATAAATCAGGATATCTTAAGGCCAAGAATCGTACAGATCTTGAAGAGGAAGATCTTGTAACACATCGAGAGTTCCAGATAGCTGGTTATTCTGCAAATGACTGTACACGTAAACATAAGTTGCCATTATATTTATAATAAAAAAACACATATTAACTAAAGGAAAGCGCAGTAACAACTCACAGAGTAGCAAGAGACGACAAGCTTCTGGTAGAAGGTGGCAACTGTCCGCTCAAACTGTTATTCGACAAGTCTCTGCAAAGACCATAAATGTTAGTTAAGCTTGAAAGAATTATATGCGATTGTTGCAACTAAACATGCTTTAGTATCAGACTCGTACAAGTTAACCAAATCTGGAAGGGACTCAAAAGCATCAGGAATTTCTCCAGTTAACTCGTTGTTGTTAAGGGACCTGAAGTTGATAGTCAATTGTTGAGATAACAAACAAATAACAATACAACAACAAAAACCCATGTACCACTCAAAGTGCTCTGCGTAAATGAATGAACTTACATGGCTTGTAACTGAGTTAGAGACGAAAGAGAAGTAGGTATACTTCCTGTCAGCTTGTTATCTGAAAGAAAACTGCCAAAGGTAAAGAAAGACTATCACATGTCCAAGTTGAGAAGGAATCATGAATAATAAGAAAGGCCCAAGTGAAGCAATATTTAAAACAAATGATAGGAAGACATACATGTTGACCAATGAAGCCGGCAACACGGATGGAATGCTACCATTGATAAAGTTATTGTTGAGCGTTCTGCAATTAGATTAAAAACACAGTTGTTACCTTGAGTGCCCAGTGATTACGCGTTGTAATGAATAAAGACTAAAACCCACTGCTTGTAAGAGACTGACATGGACTTGATAGAAGAAAATTTCGCGAGACTGTCCCCCAACTCGCCCACCAAATTAGCCGCAATCAGTGTTCTGCAAATTAAAACATAATGACGAATTGTCGGTTCATTATGAAATTCAAAGTCACATGACATAATTTTTTACTATTATTATTATTATTACGAAATTTTGAGGAAAGGCGGCATACATTGAGCTTATGGAGGAGGCATCACACTCGACACCTTGCCAAAGCTCAGCACAAGGGTCTCCACCACTGCTAACCCACCCAGGTAGAGTAGGTGATCCCAATGAAAGGTATAACCCATTTATAGCATTAACTAGTCCAGCAAATGGCAAAACAAGAGATAGGTTAATTTTTCAATCGACATTTGCACAGTTGACCGTGAGAGAGCAACGTACCATCGCCAGGAATGGTGTATCCCTGGGAAATTGTGGCTGTGTAAATTATTAAGGCAAAAACCAACAGGATCTCCAAACTCCCTACAGATCTAATGTGAACCATTCTTTTCAGTCCAACTCTTTTTCTGGGTAATTAAAACTCCACCGCATAGCCAGTGCATAAAAACACCCACCAATCTGCGAATAAATGAAAGTGAAACAGAGCGGACCAATAATTGATTGTGTTTTTTCACAAATGCAGCTTCCTATTATCACTAATAATACATGATGATGAATTCGAGAAGAAACTGTACTTTAAGCTCTCTCTCTCTCTCTCTCTCTGCTTCTAATAAATAGTACTACTAACTATATAATAAAGAGGAACACTACTACACTGGAGAGTTGCAGAAATTAAGAGGAATCATGAGAAAATGAAATTACTGTAGTGGGTACTGATCAAGTTGAAGTATCAGTAGCTCTTGCCAATTTTTGTCTTAAGAATAAAAACCCAGCAAAAAAAGAAAGGAAAATGAGTGAGAGAGAGAGAGAGAGAGAGAGAGAGATAGGGCAGCAAACCTTATTAGCTGGAATGGAATGAGAAAACAAAAGCTCGAAAGTTGCACACAGAGAGAGAGAGAGAGAAACCGATGTGAAGGAACTCTTTCTCTCTCCTCACTTTCTATCGTATGCAGCTAATAATCTTCTCTGCATATTTTCACATACAACGCGCGTACACAAGAGCGTGGCGTGCAGTTATTATTACACTGGCACAACAAGTACATTATTATTTAATGTATGTGCCCCTCGCCTCGTGGACCTGGTAAACGGTTCGTTTTGGAAAGTGAGTAGGCGCGTGTGTACCGTGCGTGCCAATTGGTTTTTGGAATCCTACGGACAATTTATTTTTATACATGTTAGATAGAAATATGGCCATCTGATCTGCGGGATGAAATTGAAATTTATTTGTTGATGGGAAAAGTTTTACAGCCTAAAGCCTACGCAAAGATCATTTTGCTCTCATTTTCTGTGGCCGTGCAGTGTTTTTTATTTTATTAAAGACCCGTACAACACCCTCATTACATAATAATAGAATAGTTGTACATTTAGCTTTTATAGTTGTACTTCAGTTTAGCTTATTGTTATAGTAAAAGTGTTACTTGTTAATTAACACTTTATGTTCCCAACTGTAATAGTATATAAAGTGTGAAAACCCTAGTACTCTGCACTATTCATTCATTATCCTCAGTAATAGAATCGCCTCCATTTTTTTCTCTCGTTTTCTCTCTATTTTGTTGCTCAAATTATCTAACATGGTATCATTCGCCGATCGATTCCTGTTCAAATCCGCTGCATCCTTACCGTTTTGAATCGTCTTCTCAACGATTCACTGTTCCTGTTATCGATTGATTTTTTTTCGATCTGTTTCCGATTTTTTTTGTTTGTTATTCTGCATATCGATCGATCTCTCTCGATTTGTCTCTGATATTGATTTTGCTGATGGCGACACTCACAAATCCAAGCGAAGATCTCACATCGCCGTTCTACCTGCACCCAAGTGACAATCTCGGAACTCTCATCGTCGCGGAGCTCTTCAACGGCGAAAACTACGTGTCCTGGTCGCGAGCCGTGTCAATGGCCCTAAGCGTCAAGAACAAACTCGGATTCATCGACGGTACACTGTTTCCTCCGAATTCAACTCAAAACCCTAGCCTATCTTTAGCCTGGGTGAGATCTAATAACCTTGTGCTATCTTGGATCTTAAATTCTGTAAATAAGGATATCAGACAATACTTATTGTTTTTCACTAATGCACAAGATGTCTGGATTGAGTTGAAATCCCGTTATGCCCTATCTAGCGGACCTAGGGTTTTTCATCTTGAGAAATCCCTAAGTACTATAGATCAGGGTACAACCTCTGTGACTCAGTACTACAACAATTTCAAAACTCTATGGGATGAATATGTCACCTATCATCCTATTTTCAAGTGTATATGTGGTGCTTTCAATGATTGTACTTGCAATATCTTTGAGGCAATGGCCAATGCTCAAAATCATGGTTCTGTAATGAAGTTCCTAATAGGATTGAATGACTCTTATTCTTCCCTTCGAAGCCATTTTCTATTGTCTAATCCATTGCCACCACTTGCAACCATCTATTCTTTGCTCCTGCAAGAAGAAAGCCAACGCACATTATCCAATACCATCAAACCTTCTGAACCCCTCGCTATGCTAGCCAAAACAAACTATCAATATCCGCAGAAACCTTCCTACAACAAACCACCCAGATCCAACCAGTCAAATGATAAACCTCGCCCAAAATGTACCCACTGTGGTCTTCTCGGTCATACTATTGACAAATGCTACAAAATTGTTGGATATCCTTCCCATTGGAACATATCCAGGGGCCCCAAACCTTCAAACAAATATTCTGCCAACATTGCTACCTCTGAGACAGAAACTCCTAATTCTGATAATGTCACTGATGATTCTATCATGACTGATCGTTTGTTTCATGAATTCATAGCATTTAAAAAGTCACAGGACCTGGCATCTAATAAGTCCAGCTCACCTGTTGTTGCAACTGCCTTTGCTGAGACCTCAGGTATGCCTAATCCCTTGTTATGCATGGCTACTAGACATTTGTCTAAAAATACATGGATACTTGATACTAGGGCAACTGACCACATGCTTTGCACTGCTGATTTCTATTCTTCACCTGCCATGTCCACCTCCATTAAAATTAATATTCCAAATGGCAATCACACTACTGTATCTCATGTTGGTCATGTACAGCTTGCTGATTCATTAATATTACATGATGCATTGTTTGTTCCATCTTTCTCATTTAACCTGATTTCAGTTTCTAAGTTGACTGCCACAAACAATTGCATTGCCAAATTCCTGTCTTCATCTTGCATTTTACAGGATCTGCCAAACTAGACAGTGATTGGTTTTGCTGATCTTAAAGATGGCTTGTATCATCTCAGATTAGATAGTTTCAATACTTTACAGTCTCAGATGAACACAAATGTATCTGCTTTACCTGTATGCTCATCTGTCAATGTAAACTCTTCTTTACATGATAACTCCCCTTTACATGTAAATCCATCACCTGTTCATAACCACACACATGACAATTCCATCTAGCACTACAGATTAGGCCATTTATCATACTCTAAACTTCATACATTACCTATTTCTTCTTTCAAAAACAAAGTTATGGCTCCTTGTGATGTAGGTCACTTTTCCAGGCAGAAAAGGTTACCTTTTACTGAAAGTTCTTCTTCTGCTACTACTCCTTTTCAATTAATTCATTGTGATCTATGGGGACCATTCTCAACTATTTCTCATTCTGGTCATAAATATTTCCTAACTATTGTAGATGAATCATTTCTACAATCTGGTGTTAACACAATTTGATAAGAAAATCCAAATTATCAGAACTGATAATGGTTCTGAATTCTTTCTTAAACAATTTTACACTGATCATGGCATTATTCATCAAACATCATGTGTTGAAACACCACAACAAAGTTCAAGAGTTGAAAGGAAACATCAACATTTGTTGCAAGTAGCTAGAGCTTTACTTTTCCATGCTCATTTGCCACTACATTTCTGGATTGATTGTGTACTTGCTGCTGCTCATATCATAAACAGAATTCCCACCCCTGTTTTAAATGACAATGTGACGCCCCGTTCATTTATGAATAAATTGGAATTATTTGAGATTTATTTATTGATTTATTATTGCTATTATTATTGTGTATTTATATTAGTATTATTATTAGTAAATATTTATTTGTAACTAAATGTCTAATTGTTGTAAATACCTATTATTATTATATAAATATATATTGCGTGTATTATAAATATAGATAATCCGGATTTATTTATTTATCGTCAATTATATTGATCGGAAATTCTTGGTTATCGCGTTTATTTCCGACCCAATCGAGATTATTTTTCCAGCTTCATTGGTGTTTAACAATTTTGGGCCTTTTACACATATTTATACCTTAGCCCAATTAGGAGATGATATATTTTGGCCCAAATTGTTCTAATTATTTGGCCCAAGAGATTTGTGTCGCCTGCTTCTTCTCGCGTTCAAGACCGAGTCCTCGCCTTATCTCCACCTTCAAAACTCTGCTGCGATTTTCATGGGAGTTCAAAGGCACGTTCTCCCTCCCTCTCGCCTACTTAATAACCGGTTGGGCTTTTCAACTCAAAAATCAGAAACATTCACCTCTCTCTCCCTCAATCGCTCTGTTCTAGTT